AGGCTGGCTTAGGCTTCAGGAAGCCTAGGAAAGTGGCATCCGTGCCCCTGCCGTGTGGGTCCTTATCTCTGTATGAGGCGGGAGCTCTGTGAAAAGAGACACAGGGCTCCCAAGCTGAAAGGTAACATACTTGCCCAATTGCTTTTACTCTTGTTTCAGTCCCTGTATTCAGAGATCTGGGAACCTTAACTTTCTTTTTTTGCCGCCCTCACTCAGATTACACTGAGCTGATGTTTTAACAAACAACTGTGTGTGTGTGTGTGTGTGTGTGTGGCTATGTCATAGGCTTCTCATAGCCAAAGCTGCCATCCATCCTGCTTTAGCTCACATCTTCCCAACTTAATGGCCCGTTCTCTCCTCCCGGTTCCTCTCCCCATACACCGCCCCCTTCCTTTTTCCAGCTTATTCCATGGAGAATGAAGTGAGTCTTTCATTTGCTCCCCTTCGCAGTGGCCCTCTAGAGCTTTACTCCTACGTACTCAACCCTCTGGGACTGACCCTGTGGGATGTCTGGCCAGTGACCTGAGCCAGGGATCTTTGAGGGGGGACGCAAGGAACCTCAGTCCATGGCCATTTTAAAGGGGGTGTGGCTAGCAGAGACACAGTGGTAAAAGTAAAAATTTGACTTTGCAAATGTAGTATTAAGTCATCGAGAAAGTTCACCTTGATGGTTAATTACATTTGTAAAATAACATGTGTCTACTGTTTTTATATCAAATTGATCTTGTAGTTTTTTATTGGAGTATGGCGTGGACTGTTCTAATATTTTTTTTAAGTTCATGTAACATGGTTCTCTGTTACATTTTAAAATGCCACTTTTTCTTTCTTTGTGGTACCTGGAGATTGGAGAGTGTTGTCTCCTGTGGCCCAGCTCCTTAGAGTCCTGAATGTGTTTGTTTACCTTTCCCTCCTTATTTTGACTTAAGTTCCAAATTGCCAAAAGTCTCATTAGATTTCCAAGTCAAATATTTTGAGCTGTGGGAGTTGAGTTCTGTAGCTGCTTTGTGTGTATAAAATGTGTTTTTAAGCAACTGATAATCAAAAGGCATTTGGGCTACACACCAGGGCTTTGTCTTGCACAGGAGAGATCCACCCCAGTGGATATCTCACAGACTGGAAGGATCTTGTGGGTACCCAGAGAGTACTATATATGGACTGAAATCCCCCCTGCCCCCATTTTGACTAAAGGATTTTTTTTAAAGGGGTGTTGCCTAAAGTTTTGGACTGAATGTTTTCATGCTCTTAAAAGACTTTCCCCCCTTGTAAATTAGCATAAATGCATGGTTTTGTGTGTGTGTGTGTATATGCATGTATGTATGTGTGTGTGTGTGTGTATGTATATACATATATATATATATATTTTATTGGTTTCCGAGAGGAAGGGAGATAGAAACATCAATGATGAGAGAGAATTGTTGATGGGCTGCTTTCTGCACGACCCTACTGGGGATCGAGCTTGCAACCCGGGCATGTGCCCTGATTGGAAATTGAACTTTGCCCTCCTGGTTTCTAGGTTGACACTCAACCACTGAGCCACACCAGCTGGATTGTTTATATTCTTAATGGAAAAAAAAGTGTGAGTGGCACTTGCTGTGGAAATTGCTTTGAGATCGTTTGAAGAAACTGAATATACTACTGAAGGTCACAAAAATCAATGAGAACATGGCAGTTTGGAATGGATTGTTTTATATCAAAGGCAGGATCGGGATGCTGCCAAGGACCACAAAGACATCTCTGAAATTGCAAGGGCTGCCCTGCTGCGGAGAGGCCAGTGCGCCTGCAGTTTCATGATTTCAGTAGGGACTCTCCAAGCATGGTCTGCTTTGTGAGCACGGGGTGTGTGTGTGTGTGTGTGTGTGTTTCTCCTGTGTATCCCACCCCCCATAGGGTATGTCCAAGGACTATGCCCTCATAATTAACTCCTGATTCCTGGTCAGGCACCACTCTATAGACAGTTGTCCTTGTCTTTGAACTTATCTAGGGCAGAAGAGCCGTTTCCTTCACTCTCAAGATTGCTGTGAGGGGCTGGACTGGGATTGGCTGTGAGTTCTTCATAATTATAGTCTCCTTTTAGGGACCCACTATATTAAGCTGTAGATATTAACATATTACTTGGGGATTAAATGTTTGCTTTTTAAAGTGGTTCTCTTTAGAGTTCCTTTAAATAGCTAGTTCTCCAGTTTCATTAAGATAGAATTTGATTCCTAGAATTTGTTTTGTAGGAATAAAGGTCCTCATTAAGGCGCAGCACTGCCATCATCACTCTCCTGGTTCCCTGAGCTGGAGGCAGAGCCCCTCCTCACTGGGGTGCAGGAGGGTTCACATGGAACGAGTTCTACCAAGAGCTCATTTCTTGTCTCCTTTTTTTCTTCCCATCATCCAGTATGTTTATTGAACACCTTTTACACATACTGCAGTGTGGGGCATACAGACTTAGTGTAAGACTTTGTCCCAGTTTCAGTAGGTTTGTACTTATAGCTTTTTTCATTATTATTGAATTTATTGGGATGACATTGATTAATAAAATTTTAAATAGGTTTCAAGTGTACAATTCCATAATACATCATCTGTATACTGAATTGTGTGTTCACAACCCCACATCAAGTTTCCTTCCATCACCATTTATCTTCCCTTTACTCCTTTACTCTCTTCTACTGCCCCTAGCCTTCTTTCCCTCTGTGTCTGTGTCTATGAGTTGTTGGGTTTTTTTTTGCTTTTTCACCCAGCCACCCCCCCTCCCCCCTTCCCTCTGACAGCTGTCAGTCTAGTCTCTGTATCTATTAGTCTCTATTTTGTTAGTTTATTTTGTTCAATAGATTCCACATATAAGTGACATTATGTGGTACTTGTCTTTCTCTAACTGGCTTCTTTCAGTTAGCATTAAATCTCCATCATCCATGCTATTGCGAACATTAAGATTTCCTTTTTTCTCTCTGTAGTGACATTCTCCACCACCACACCGTTTCTTCTCTAAAATGACAGGCATTCAGATTACCTAAACGTACTTGCTAATTAAAATCTGTTCTCTAAAAGCCACTCCATAATCAGCCAAGCACACTGTAAGCAGAACACCTACCTCAAAGCATCTAGGATGAACAGGGGTTATGCTGATTACAAACACTGACCAAACACAGTGTTATCATACTAATGTTCAGAAATAAATTTCATTTGCCAAGCAGCTGATGTACTACTTCCTCTCTAAGACCTAATGAATTTAGACATAAGCAGTCATTCCTTCAGAGATTTGCAATCTTCTTTGTCACTTAGTGGATGGTAGCTCAGTGTTAGTTATATTGATTTATACTTGTGGATCACTTCTTTTCCCTGTAGCTTAGTGCCCTTTGTAGGTGTTTTTGGGAGTGTGTTATTAATGCTAACATTTAAATTTTGTTACTAAATCATTTCACAGCTGTTCTTTGCTTTGATTGTTTTGAGCGGCTAAGTATCTCAGCCATCGGGACATATACATTCATAATTCCTGGGGCTTTAAACTGAGCAGTCTTAAACTTAAGTTCTAGTTTCTCAAAGCTCTAACGGGTCCAGCCTGCTTCGTTTTGTTTCTCTTTCTCTTCAGGAGAACATAGAAGTTCTGTTTCAAGTTGTGTCTGCACCTTGACACGAGATAATCAGCTTTGAAATAATATTTTGTGTTCAATAATTAGAGACTTGTGTTTCAGTTTTTATTTTGGGAGATGGAGGAATTTTAGGATAACCTGATTGTTGTCTGCAGCACATTTATATTGTTTATATTGTAAAAGATTATTTCTCTGTGTTCCTCCCCCACATTTTATTATTAAAAATTGGAAATATGTGGAAAACGTGAAAGAACTCAGTGAATCTTTATGTTAACATATTTGCTTTATCACAAAGCAAGGTAAAGCTTTCTTTTTATCTTGTTTTTCACTCCCCCCGCCCTCCCCCGTTTTACAGCTAATAATAACGTGGGGAGAGAAGCAGACAGTTAGACATGCTCAGTGCCTGCACATACTGGACGTAGTAGAGCAGGTTGGCAAATGAGCGAATGAACGTGAATGAATGAATGAGTGGTCTGAATAGCACATGCTTCCAGCTCCAGGACACAAAGAAACAGTTCCCAGCTAAGTCCCTGCCGAGGTTACTGTTGGGCCAGGAGGTAAGAACCGCTTTGCAGGTAGCCTGTGTGAAGCCTGCAGTGAAGGTCCGCCTGGTTAGTATGGCTAATGGAGTTCAGGAGAGGGAAGATGATCCCAGAAGTTTGGGACAGTTGACAACGGCTTTTTGGAAGAAATGGAGCTGGGACGAGGCCAAGAGGTAGAACAGAGCCTGAGAGCTTAGATGGGCACAAGGGCATTCCGTGCCATGAGCAGCCTGAGGCTGCCACGTGTTCCGGAGGGGTGACTGTGGTGGATAGCCAACTGCCCACTGCAAGCCCTTCGTTCGGGTGATTGGTGAGTGGACTGCCTTCTTCATGCTCCAAGGCAGGTCCCTGGCCTGTTGTAGGCAGGACCCACTCCCAGTTATTCCCACTCCACGGCTCTGCCCTTACGGCGCACTTTGCCTAGAATACTGTCCCTCTAGATGCCTGAGTGGCTCCCTCTTCCTTCTGGCCTCTGTTCAATAGAAACTTCCCTGCCCCCTCCCCCTTTATAAAGTAGCATCTCCTTCTGGCACACACCCTCCTCCAGTCCTCCCCAGCATGCTTTGTGCTGTCTCCCCAAAGCCTAGCATAGTGCCTGTGATTATATAGCCATATGTGTGTATATGTATGTATAGATATAGAGTTGGTGCTTAGGGAACAGTTTATGCATGAAGAAATGAACAAATGGGAATTCTGAGGTGGGCAGAGAGTCACCAACACATCGTGTGGGGCCAGTGCACTTGTGGGCAAAGTTGAGTTTGGGTATGTTACCTTGCCCTGCTTAGAAAAGCTCCAGGGAATTCATGGCATTTTCTTTTTGAAGGAATCATGCTCTAAGTGAAGCACGTGGTGATGCTACTGCCTCTTGTCCTCTTCCCAGGACCCCTGCAGTGCACCATGAGTCGGTAATGCCCACTGAGGACCTCTGGGAGCCATGTCAGACGAATCCACCTCAGGGAGCGATCCAGACCTGGACCCGGACGTGGAGCTGGAGGATGCGGAAGAGGAGGAGGAGGAGGAGGAGGTGGCAGTGGAGGAGCACAGCAGGGATGATGAGGAAGACCTGCTGGATGGTGAGTGGCTCTAGTGAGTGCCGGAGGTGGCCTTATCTTTTCTTCTAATGGAATCTTTGCTGGGTGAGCGTGGTGTTTCTAGTTGGGTTTCTTAGGTCATCCATCATGAAAAGACAGAGACTGGAAACACAACAACCATGAACTCACATGCTTCTTCCCAGGAAGTGGGCTGTTCTACATAAGCCTCGCTTTAGTGCTGGAAGGACCGTTAGCGTTAATTCTCTCGCCTTGGACAGGCATGCAGACTCAGGTCTGAGGATTTGGGAGTGGAGCATGCTTGCCCAAGTCATGGAGGAGTCAGTGGCAGAGTCCCTGTGACCACACTTTATAGTCCGGTGTCATGGACCCATGAGGTGGCCATAGGTAGGCATGGGGGTCACAGTGAGTGGTCTGAGAGTTTCCTGAAAGTATACTCACAGTTCTGCCTGTGTGGACATGAGCAGTGAGGGTTGATGCTCCTTTGGGGAGAGAGAAGGGATGCTGCCAAACATCCTACGTTACATAGGAAAACCCTTCCTATATGCAGTTATCCAGCCCAAAATGTCAATAGCGCTGAGCTTGAGAAACCCTTTCAAAAAGGAAACTATTAATTTAGCACTTTTTATTTGAATTTTCCTCTATTGGATAACAACAGCTCCCTTTTATATTGCTTCATCATAGTGTACAGAAATATCTGAACATCTTACTGATTTTCTCAAACAATTGTCCTTTGGCTTTGGTGACCCCTCTATTGTGTGTGCTTTCTTTGTAATGTCTACTTTACAGTATTCCTCTTTCTACTTCTTTTGGGTTTATTTTGCATTACTTTCAAACTTTGTAAGAAAATGCTTAGCTCATTTTAGGCTCCACCCACCCCTAATATAAGCATCCTATATAATAAAAGCCTAATATGCTAAGTGTCAGGTCATCCGTTCAATCAAAGCGTAATATGCTAATGATATATGCTAAGGCTGCTCAACTGCTTGCTGTGACGTGCACTGACCATCAGGAGGCAGACACTCCACCTGGAAGGTTAGCTTGCTGCTGGGGTCTGCCTGTGGTCCCTCCCTGACTGGCCAACCTCCCGTGTCCCTCCCTGGCCCCAATTGTGTACCGGTGGGGTCCCTTGGCCTGGCCTGTACCCTCACGCAATCAAGGATCCCTTGGGGGATGTTGGAGAGCTGGTTTTGGCCTGATCCACAGGCCAGGCCCAGTGACCCCACTGGTGCACAAATTCGTGCACCAGGCCTCTAGTTTAAAACTATAAATTTCTCTCTAAGTGCTAGCTCTGTCCTTTCACAAGCACTTTGTCACACTTTCTCCTACTTGATTATCTTTATAGACTTGGTGACATATTAGATGTGTGGGGCAGGTTGAAGCTGGAATAGGTAAAGCCTGGGAGGAGGATGAAACCTTTGTCAAGGTGGGAGGGATAGGAGGGAGTGGATGGGGAGTTCAGGATAGTTTTAGCTTTGCTACATTAAACTGGGTGTCGTTTCCTCCTTGCCCTTTGAATGTTGCCTGTTAGGACGTTAGTCTGAGAGCTGACTTTACCAGAGCAGGGAGGCTTTGGCTACTGGGGAACAGCACCAGGGCGTTGCCTTTAAGAAGAGTGGGATGAAGATGTGCTCTCTTTTTATAACATGTTAGGGCCCATGGCTTGGTGTGAGAACTTTTGGCTTTGGTTTTTCATTCCCCTGGGTTTTTTGTTTTGGTTCGGTTTTGGCTTTTTTATCTTGATGTCTATACTGGGCTTTCTCCATTTTTTGAAATGGGCACAGTTGGGTGTCAGCATCTTTGAGGTCTGTCGTTAGAGGCAGAGGTTCAAAACCTGGTGCCTCTGGAATGAACTTTCCTTATGCAGTGGTTTTTCTGGCTCAGTATTTTCTTCCAGCTCAGCTTCAGGTTTAATCTCTTGCTGGATGTGTAGGACCCCTCAGTGCAGAAGTCCGAGAAGCCCTGGTTTACGTTAGCTAATCGAGGTCTGGACACAGACTGGCTTGATGGGCACATCGTTTTAGAACATATAGGCCTTCTTTATTTCACTTTACTCTTGTCTATTTTATATGGCGTATCAGGATAGTAGGAGCCTGGAACTGCAGGTAGATAACTAACAGCATGCTTAGGCCCTTCTGTAACCTGTTTCACAGCCATCTTGTTGACAGCAAGCCTCCTTGATGTCAACTTAGGCTTCAGGCTGACCCCGTCCACCTTGGACCACTGGATAAGGGAAGCTGGTCTCTTAGTCCCTGGGTCTCTGACTCTCCTACAGGAAGTTTGCTTTTTGCTTTTTCTCTGACCCCATTCTACTTGTCCTCTTTGCTTGCAATGTAAAGAAATCAGGAGTAAAATGTTCTAGGCAGAGGGCCAGGGCAAAGGCCCTGGGGTGGAAACGAGTCTGCTTGTTTAAGAATCAGAAAGGTAGAAGCCGGGACAGCTGGAGCATAGAGAGCAAGGGGCGGAGCTAGGCGGGGCCTACATGGTGGTGGTGTGAGATATACCTGGAATCCGGGATTTACTTACTTGGGTTCTAACAGGTGCTATTTCACACTCTCACTGTAAGTACTCAACTGATTTTTCAGAACAGCCTGAGTTAGAGTTTAGGGTGATCTCTTGTTGGAAATTAAGTGGTGCCAATTTTGATACCAGTTTCTTTCCTCCTTTCTGTGTGCCAGGCTTAGAGATACAAAGGACAGAAATCGGCTGGGGACAGAAGATTGTTTTGTAAATCTGCCTCAGAAAAGCATGTCATGTGTTGACTCAGTTATTCAGAGTGACTTTGTAGGACCTTTAACACTTCTTCCCAGTAATCCATGGAGTGGGAGCTTCTGGCTGTGGGTTTAATTTGTATTTCCCTGATTACGTAAGGCGTTGAGCCTTTTTCCATATGCTTGTATGACTATTTGCACTTTTGTAAAGTGCCTGAACACATTCTTTTTTTAAGAAAAAAATTTTTTTATTGATTCATTTCAGAAAGAAAGGGAGAGGGAGGATCTGAGCCTCCTGGGATCTGAGCCTGCAAGCTGGGCATGTGCCCTTGACTGGAATCGAACTTGGGACCCTTCAGTCCGCAGACCGATGCTCTATCCATTGAGCCGAACCAGCTAGGGCTGAACATTTTTTTTTATCTTTTCTTTTTTCCATCCATCTCTTATTGATTTATAGTCATTATATCTGAATATGAGTCTTTAGTTAAATACACAAACACACACACACACATCTTTCCCTTCTATACTGATTTTCACCCTCTTAATTTTGGGGTTTGTGTGTTGTTTTTTTTTGCAGTTTTATGCTCTTTTTTAAATTGTATTTTTGATGAATAGATTTTAATGAAATCAAATTTATCATTTCCCCCTTTATATTTATCGCTCTTTATGCCTTATTTAAGAAATTTTTGTCTCCCCCCCCAAGGTCATAAAGCTATTCTCCTATTATCTTCTAGAAGCTTTAATGTTTTTTTTTTTTTAAATATATTTTATTGATTTTTTACAGAGAGGAAGGGAGAGAGATAGAGAGCCAGAAACATCGATCAGCTGCCTCCTGCACATTTCCCACTGGGGATGTGCCCGCAACCCAGGCACATGCCCTTGACCAGAATCGAACCCGGGACCTTTCAGTCCGCAAGCCGACGCTCTATCTACTGAGCCAGACCGGTTTTGGCGAAGCTTTAATGTTTTATCTGCACTTAGTTCTATGATCCATCTGGAGTTGATTTTTGTGTGGTGTGAGGTAGGGGTCAAGTTCATGCCCTCTTCCCCCAATATGATTTTCTAATGGCTCCAGCACTCTTATTGCATTTTTGCTATACCTTTGTTGTAAACCAAGACAGAGAACATATGTAACTCTGTCTCTGAACCATTTTTTTTCCACATGACCTTCTGGGAAATGGGGTAGAGGAGTGACTGTGCAATGTGGTGGCTAAGAGCATGAACTGGAGCCAGATCAACCACCTGGTTAACACTGTTTGAATCTTATCTTTACTACTTACAGCTTTGAGACAAGTTTCCTCATCTGTAAAATAGCACGCATGCACCCCTGTGGTATCGTTTGCCAAGTTTAACATTGTTCTTAGTCCCCTGTAGTTTTGCAAACTGGGAGTGAGATAACAAAGTAGTTCAGAGTTAGGCTCAGTTTTTTGGCACATAAGTCCTAGGTTGTGGCATGTGCATCCTCCTGTATCATGCCAAGAGGCACATGGTAAGACGTGGAATTTGCTGATCTTTGTTTTGTTTTTTTTAATCTTCACCTGAGGATATGTTTTCATTGATTTTTAGAGAGAGAGAGGGGATGGGGAAAAACATCAATCTGTTCTTCCTGCATGCGCCCCAAGTCGGGGATCGAACTCACAACCTTGTGGTGTACAGGATGACACTCCACCAACGGATCCACTGGGCCAGGGCAAGAACAGTTTAAGATGTGGTGTAATGTTATGTAGAAACCAGACATTTCATAATAAACATGAGGCAGCCATAAAGCACTGTAAAACACTGACTTATGTGACAAACTAAATATCGGCACATCCATAAACTGAAGCCTCTAACAAGCCAGCAGTGGTTGTTGAACCCAGAGGCTGAGGGTGGTAAGAGCTGTTCTAGACCTGTCTCCCCTTTATAAAGAAAAGGAGAAACCTGAGTCTGTACCAAGCTTGCATGAGAATTTTATATGCTGTGTCTAATCATTTTAAAATTCCTACTGCACATGTCCACATCCACCCCCTGCCAGACAGGAATTCACAGCCAGGCCTCACAAGTTGTAATGTTTGATAGTGAATTTGTCTGTGATATTGAAAGACTGTCAGGTTCTGTTCTTCCTCCTCCCAGGAACAGTTCACTCTGCAAGGCTAAAACCAGAAGGAAGAAATACAACAGTTGGCAACAAGTTCCCACTGCCCTGCAGATCAAGTTCAGACCCTTGGCCTTATTCAAAGCCTGCCCTCTGTACTTGTCTTATCTGCCTTCTCCCTAACCACCTAGCCTCCAGCTATTCCTCTGAGTGGTTACTTAATAAATTTGCTTGTGAAATAGAAACAAAACAAAAAACCTTAAGGTCAGGAGGACATCAAAGGTCATTGTCCAAACCAGTTCAGAGGACCCAGCAAAACACCAAGTTGAAGTGTGCCAACCCAGCCCCAAGTGTAATTGGTGTGTAGGCCAAGGTGCAGTGTTGGTGAAAGTGGCCGTTTAGCAGTAGCTATTCCTCTTAGGGAGTCTGCTGTCCCCACACCTGGTTCTTGGGTAGGAGGGATTTGATGGCCTTGCTTTTTACCAGGGAAGAACGCAGGGCTGTGAGGAGGAAGGTGACAATATTGTCATGTGACAATACCATGGGGGTATTAGCTCTCTGGAGGCATGAGGGGCCGGAAGGACGGATAGTTCTTAAGGAAAACAGTTTGCTGAGCTTTCCTCCCGTGGTGCTTCTGGTGGAAACAGGAGAGGACTGTAGGAGGGTCGTGAATCTGGCGGCAGTTAGTCTGATTGGCAGCCGCACTTGGGAGCTTCTCTTTCTGTTCGCCTGGCTGGCTGGGCGCAAGAGCAGGGCACCTTGCTTCCTCAGCAGGCAGGGCCTGCCCCTGAGTCTAGGCCTGCGTTGCATTCCCGGCGCTTCTTGCCACCCAGACTCTGCCATCTCTGGGAGGCCTTTTGTGAAAGGCCGGCTGCAGACTCGGTCGTAATAGAGAGGAGACTGCGATGTTAACGGCAATTGCGGTGGCCCATCATGCACAGTCCTTGTCTGGTGCCCCCTCCGCCATTTCCCCTTTGCTCTTCAAAAGCACAGGTTGTCTACCTGAAGCCTCCAGTGGCCTCTCAGTGTGAAGGCCAAGGAAGATGCATCCAGGGCTGCTGCACAGGAGTGAATCACCCAGGCTGTGCACTCGTTAGCGTGTGAGCATGCATGCACACAGCTCCACCCCACCTATCCCCTGCCACCCTCCACTCTTGGAGAGGCCACATTAGCATCCCTTCCCTACCCAAACACTAGGCAGTGAAATATACTAGTAGGAAGTGAAATATCCTAGTGGTAGGAAGAAGAGGCCTTGGGTGGTCCTCTCTGTGACAGGGGCTGACTTCTGTGCTGACTCCAGGAAGGATCTTGGCGCTACACCTAAGTCATCCTTGGGAGAGGGGATGCTGGGGGGGGAGAGGAAAGAGGCTGGGTTGGAAGGCCCTCCTGCTGCTTTGCTCACTCGTTTTTAATGAGCCCATATTGGACTGCCTGCGTTTTCTTAATCTCTCCTCCTTGTTTGAAGTCTGTTCCTTTTGCTTATGCTCCGGTATCTGCTCAGAAGGTTCTTTCCTTCCTCCCTTACCAGCTGGTGCCTACCGACCCTATGACATGAAGCCCAGGCCTCACCTTTCCCAAGGAAGCATCCTCACTCCCAGACTTAAGCAAGCCTGGTTAGGGGTCCTTTCCCCAAGTGTGGCTCTTGGCACTCACCTCATCGTGTGTGCTTTCCTGGGTGAGCCATTCCATTGTGCCCTGGCACAGGGCCTGTACATGGCAGATGGTCAAGTGTGTGTAAGGCTGAACTCTACGCAGGTGCAGAGAGGCCACGGTGGCCGTTTGGTGGCAGTCTTTATGACAAGTTTAGAATACAGAGGTGGTCTGCAGTCTCATCGGGGGTGTTGGTGTGTGTTTGGAATAACAAAATGCAGTTTGTACATGTCATTCTCTCAAAATAATTCGCTTTTTTATTTTAACATATTTTGAAAAACTTCTAAAATTACATTTGACATTCAACATTACATTAGTTTCAGGTGTACAGCATAGTGGCTGGACAGATGTTTATATACGTAGGAAGGAGTTCCCCCAGTAAGACTAGTACTCACACCATACGTAGTTATTACGATATTATTGACTGTATCCCCTAAGCCCTGCTGTACATCCCCATGACTGTTTTGTAACTGCCAATTTGTACTTCATCCTTCCCCCTTTTTCTTTTTTTTTTTTTTTAAATATATTTTATTGATTTTTTACAGAGAGGAAGTAAGAGATATAGAAAGTTAGAAACATCGATGAGAGAAGCATCGATCAGCTGCCTCCTGCACATCTCCTACTGGGGATGTGCCCGCAACCCAGGTACATGCCCTTGACCGGAATCGAACCTGGGACCTTTCAGTCCGCAAGCCGACGCTCTATCCACTGAGCCAAACCGGTTTCGGCATCCTTCCACCTTTTTCACCCAGCCCCCTAAACCTCTTCCCATCTGGCAACTGTTGGTTCTCTGTATCTATTAGTTTGTTTCTGTTTTGTTTGTTCATTTATTTTGTTTTTCAGATTCCACATATAAGTGAAATCATATGTATTTGTTTTTCTCTGTCAGACTTATTTTACTTAGCATAATATCCTCTCTATCCATCCATGTTGTGGCTAATGGTCATTCTTTCTCTCTCTTTTTTTAATCCTTACCTGAGGATATTTTCCCATTGATTTTTAGAGAGAGTGGCAGGGAGAGAGGAGGAGGAGAGAGAGAGGGAGAGAGAGCAAGAAACATCAATATGAGAGACACATTGGCTGCTTGCCTCCCGCATGCACCCGACTAGGGCTGGGGATTGAGCCCACAACAGAGTTACGTGTCTTTGACCTGTACGTGCCCTTGATCAGGAATCGAACCAACAATCCTCTTGGTCCGTGGGCCAATGCTCTAACCACTGAGCAACCAGCCAGGCTGGTCATTCTTTTTTATAGCTGAGTAATATTGCACTGTGCATGCGTACCACATCTTTATCCAATTGTCTATTAGCGGACACTTGGTTATTGTAAATAATGCTGCAGTGAATATAGGGGTGCAGATATCTTTTTGAATTAGTGTTTTGGATTTGTTTGGATAAATACCCAGAAGTGGGATTGGAAATAATTTTTAATTATTTGAGTTAACGCCATACTGTTTTTCATAGTGGCTGCACTAATCTGCATTTCCACCAATAGTGCACAAGGCCCCCCTTTTCCCACATCCTCGCCTGCACTTGCGTGTTGATTTATTGATGATAAGCACTCTGAGGGGTATGAGGGATAGCTCATTAGAGTTTTTAATTGCATCTCTGATAATGAGTGCTGTTGAGCATCTTTTTATGTGTCTACTGGCCATCTGTATCTCCTGTGGAGGGAGAAGTGTCTGTTCAGGTCCTCTGCCCATTTTTTAATCAGATTTTCTAGAAAACAAACTTTTTGAAGGAAAGGAGTGTTATCATAGCCTTAAAACACCTAGGACAGTGCCTGCATGTTGAACGCCCTCATAAGTAGGTGGTGAATTGAACGAGTGAGCACTTGAAGACACTTGTTCTCCCTGTTGGCAGATGAGACTTGCTTAGAGTCACACAGGGGAGTGTGAGCTGTGTTTGGAACCCAGCTGTTCCTTTCTGAGCCGTCTGAGGCCACGAAGCTTCCTTACACAGACCACAGCGCAAAATTATCGCGAGAATGATGGCTGTCTTTTTTTGTGAGGCTGCCCTGGGCCAGGCTTGGTGCTAGGCATGGGCACTGGTTAGTCTTCACCGTAGCTCTGAAGTGTGGGCATCGTTGTCCTCGTTGGGTAGACAAGTCCGTTGAGGTCCCAAGAGATGTAAGTAACTTGCCTAAGATCACCAGCTAATAAGTTGCTGAATTGAAGTTTGAGCCCAGGTGTGTCAGGCATCAGAACTCGTTTTCCCCAGGAAAAGTTGGTCCCTGGCACCTCTTTCCCCTTATCTTTTCAGACCCATCAATGGAGGACATGTACGGCACTGAGTGTGCCCAGCTGGGGGACGATGGGCAGCGGCCACCGCGGTGCACTTCAACTACCTCATCTCAGTCTGAGCCTTCAGAGCAGCTTAGACACCACCAAGGCAAGAGCCTGGCCTCTGACGACCCCAAAAAGAAGAGAGCTCAGAAGCCCTCCCACATGAGGAGGAACATACGGTGAGTTGTGCTCTGGGTAAGAGGAGAAGGCGTGGGGGGGCTAAGGGGGGAGTGGGGGGAGGTGGTACCTTCACTTGAAGGCTGTCAGTAGCAGGAGGACTGGTCTGAGCGGGAGAGTCCTCTTTCCAAAGGACAAACATGTGAGCCGTGTGCCCAGATGAAGAGTGAAGGGCCGCTCAGGCCAGATGCGGGCAGACGATGGCACTCGAGCTCTGCCGGGCAGTGTCCCGCTCTGGAAGCCCAGGCATGACAGGGTGCTCTGCTTGGACCCGGTTCTGCCGTTATTTTTTCCTTATGTCTCAAAACAAGAGGAGATAAACACAGTTCTCATCTTCTTAGAACTCGGCTTGAGTGGGAGGGGACGTCTGGTCCCGAGCAGGGCTTCTTCCTTGAGCTAAGAAATCAGCAAGCGTGCACTTCCTTAACTCCCCAGATCCCAACAGCCCTCCGTCTACCGAAGAGATAAATGCTCTTTTTCTCCTCCTACCCTCTTTTTTAACATAATGACAACTCAAAAATATTACTCTAAGTTTGGGAAATAAGGTTATAGAATCATCCATAATCCTACTTTCCATATGCCAACTCTATTTTTATCGGCTTTTCAGCTCTATGAATCACATATTACTCTATTTTACTCTTGTTCTGTTATGTGCAGAGATGAGTCGGCAGGGGCATCTGTCAGGAAGTTAAATAATATAAAAAATATATGAGACCAATATGTATATACATAAAATATAAGGCCAGGGACACCTGAGCCTTGAAGTCCCTTTTTTTTACACCTTGCTCATTGCATGGGTTTGATGGGACTGATGTTTTTCTTCTCAACTCCACGCTCTGAGCTCAGCAACGCTAAGTCCCCTGTAGCTTGACATTGCATCGCTCAGATCTCAAGTGAACCCAACTGCCCTCTCACTGTAATGCTTAGAAAGCTGCTCCGGGAGGATCAGTTGGAGCCAGTTACCAAAGCAGCACAACAGGAAGAGTTGGAAAGAAGGAAACGCCTGGAGCAGCAGAGGAAGGACTACGCAGCTCCCATTCCCACTGTTCCCTTGGAGTTTCTTCCCGGTAAGCAGTGAGGTGCAGGAAAGGCCTGAGAGCCCACGGTGATCCAGGCCAGATTTGGAGTAAGGTCTGATCTCTCAGGAATCCTTTCGAGTCATTCAGTTTCTTGGGAGCACTAGAGCAGAGGGAACTCATTTACAAAGTTCGGATGGATGAATGTGTGCTCCTCAAACCGATCCTACTCAGATTTCTGTCACCCTCCCCCTTTAACTTTGGATGTTAACATGCCCGAGGACTAGGACTTGCTTTAGTGCTCGGGTGGAATCAGCAAGTAAGAACCAGCAGGGAAAAGGGGATTTGGAAAGAGGGCTGAGGCTTTTGAGATGCCTTCTGCTTCTCTCCTGGGCGTAGTCCTGGTGAGAGCAACAAAAGAAAAGAACGCTTGTGCCACGTGTGGTTGACGTTCCCTTCCATCTTTCTTTTCTTAGAGGAAATTGTCTTAAGAGCAAGTGAAGGTCCCCAACTGCCTCCTCGGGTCTTGGCCCAGGAAGTCATTTGTTTGGACAGTAGCAGTGGCAGCGAGGATGAAAAAAGCAGCCGAGATGGTAAGATCAAGCCAGAACTTTCATAGAAGAGTTCAGTCCTTCCTCATGCACATTGAGGTCTGCCTCGGACAGATTCCCTGAGTCGTCCTGGTAAATGTAAAGTCTTCCCTTGCCTTAACCTGAAGCTGGAGAGAGAAGTCGTCATAGGTGATAGCAAGTTCTGCCTCTTTCCATGCTGTCGCTCTAACAGTGGCAGCAAGTCACTCTGCTCCCTGGGTTTGTCTTTATTTTGTCTTGTCGGCTGTCTCAGAGGTGATTGAACTGAGCTCTGGCGAGGAGGACACTCTGCACATTGTGGACAGCAGCGAGTCTGTCAGCGAGGAGGATGAGGAAGAGGAGAAGGGTGGCACCCACGTGAATGACGTCTTAAACCAGCGCGATGCTCTGGGGCGTGTCCTCGTCAACCTGAACCACCCTCCGGAGGAGGAGAATGTCTTCCTGGCCCCGCAGTTGGCTCGGGCAGTGAAACCCCATCAGGTACGGCACCTCTTGACTGTCTTCGTTTCCTTCAGCTTCCTCGCTGTGGACATTGCCTGCTTGTTGGCATCACAGCCTGTGAGGTACTGTTGGCACCATGAGCAGCTGTTGGACAGGCCTGGTCCTTCTTCCTAGCAGTTGATGCCTCCAGATTCCCGATGAATGGGAAGGGAAAGTCCCGGGTTTGCCCTGCCATGGAGAACACTCTGGATCTCCTGGCTTAAGGATCTGGAGCCTCCCTTTGAGACTGTGAAACTGGTTGAGATGCTGTCTGGAGAGCAGAGCTTTGATTAGGAAGCTGAGGCTTCAGAAGCGACGTGAGAGGCAGAAGTCTGAGGGCCTTTCTCATGGGAGGGAACAGAGGGGTTGTGTTGACCCAGAACCTGGAACTGGGACTAGTGAGTGAAAGTTCCATAGGGACAGAGATTGGCCCAATATGAGAGCTCCAACAGTAAGGACGGCTCCTCATGGAGTGGGCTGCCTGGAGGTGAGCAGCCAGGCCACGGCTGAGTGAGGGGCCCTGCCAGGAGCTAGGAACTGCAGCTACTTGCCTGGGATTGGCCAAAGTGCCAGGTGAAGGTTTTTCTGTTTTCTCCAACAAATCTGTTGCCAGCCAATAGACTGGGCAGGGTACAGGGAGACTTCTTTAGGCGTCCATACCAGCTGCCTGGTGTCATGTCTGCTCACTCACTTCTGACTAATTCAAGGTGAGGAACCCAGAGCCCTGGTCTTTGCCAGCCCTTCTGACATTTGTGTGTGTGTTCCTTGCCAGATTGGCGGGATCCGGTTCCTGTATGATAACCTGGTTGAGTCCCTGGAGAGGTTTAAGACCAGTAGTGGCTTTGGCTGTATCCTGGCCCACAGCATGGGTCTGGGGAAAACTTTGCAAGTGATCTCCTTTGTCGACGTCCTCTTCCGCCACACGCCAGCCAAAACTGTCCTTGCCATTGTGCCGGTAAGAGTTCAGGAGGCACCGCCTAGCACCCTCTGAAGAGCTTGGGGAACCCTTCCTGGCCCTGAAAAGCTGGAGGAGCTCAGCTGGGAGCTGGCTCCTCAAAGCGCTCTTTCTGGGCCTGGCTCTCCGACAGGTTAATACTCTTCAGAACTGGCTGGCGGAGTTCAACATGTGGCTCCCAGCTCCTGAAGCCCTGCCAGCGGACAGCAAGCCTGAGGAGGTCCAGCCTCGCTTCTTTAAAGTTCACATCCTGAATGATGAGCACAAGTAGGTGGCCTGCCCTCCCGCTGCCCCTTTCCTTTTAGACTTTTTCCCGGGGCCTGGATGCCCGCGGACTGTGCCCTGTCCTCCCAGATTCCTTTGGGTTTTGATGTGTCCCTCTTTCTTCTTGCAACTCATTTTTTCTCTACCTGGCTTTTCAGTAAAGCCAGAGTTATGTGGCCTGGGAAACTTCTTGTGTACTGCTTGGGGTTGCTATTACACCTGAACACTCGGCAGGCAGGGTCGCATTTCCCAGGTGTACCAGGATACCATTCAGCACGATAAAACACAGCTTTCCATCTAACCTTTCACTTTTCTCTTTTCATAGCAGCTCATCAGTCTCTCTTCTTTAAAAAAAAAAAAAATTTATTGATTTTAGAGAGGAAGGAAGAGGGAGAGTTAGAAACATCAATGATGAGAGAGAATCACTGATTGGCTGCCTCCTGCATGCCCACCACTGGGGATCGAGCTCACAACCCGGACATGTGCCCTTGACCGGAATCGAACCTGGGACCCTTCAGTCCGCAGGCCGACGCTCTATCCATCGAGCCAAACCGGCTAGGGCAGTTTCTTCTTTTAAGCGGCTCACCATTGATCTATAGTTGACCTTTTTTTTTTTTTAACCCTCGCCGGTGGATTTATTTATTTATTTATTTATTTTTGAGAGAGAGAGAGAGAGAGAAACATCATGTGATAGAGAAACATCAATCGTTTGCCTCTTGCGCATGCCCTGACCAGGGATCGAATCTGCAACCTTTTGGTGTGTGGGACGACGCTCCAACCAACTGAGCCACCCGATCAGGGCTACAGTTGACCTTTAATGGTAAAACTTCCAGGCTTTGAAAGGTGCAAACCTTTTTTTGTTTCAGATTTGAATAAAATTATTTATATTTTCTCTCCATATATCAACCTGATTCCCAAACATCTAAAGGTACTTCTTGGTCCGGGCCCACCTCCATGCTGCCCTTGCCTCTCGGCATGGATATTGAGAAGGCAGGCTTTGTCTTCTGTCGAGGCTGCCTCATGCGAGGCTTGGTCATGCACATCCAACTGAGGAGACTGGTGGCCCACAGGTGGTTCTCACCTGCTCTCCCTCTCAGCTTTCAGGCCTGAGTCCACGTGCAGCAGGGCTCAGCTGCTCAGGAAGGAGGGTCTGTGCTGAGTGTCCTTGGTCTAAGCTGCCCTTCCTCTCCTGCTTGTCCTGGCTCTTCAGGTACCAGGACCTGGGCAGCCGAAGTGCAGAGGCAGCCCTTGCATTTAGTACTTTCTATTGACTCTAGGAATAACTCTCCCTCCGATATTGTAATCATGCAAGTACATCCAAGGAGGTTGTTGCCTTTGCTTGCCTTGTGCCCTTGAATTTCTGTTTTTTGCTATTTAACCATCATCAGTGACCCCGTCCATCCTCGCTACAATCTCTAGGATGCTGGGAAAGTCTTTGGGCAGCGGCCAGCCCTGTGCGGCTCCACTGGCCTTTGGCAATCAGGATCCTGAGTGTACATCAGCACAGCTTTGCTTGTGAGGACTTCTTCCTGGGCAGCAGTGGGAGCAGTAATATTTTCTCTCTGTTCACTCTTACAGGACAATGGCAGCTCGAGCTAAAGTGATGGCTGATTGGGTGTCGGAGGGTGGGGTGCTCCTGATGGGGTACGAAATGTACAGGCTCCTCACCCTGAAGAAGTCCTTTGCCACAGGCAGACCAAAGAGGAGCAAGAAGCGGTCTCACCCGGTCATCATTGATCTGGATGAGGAAGATCGCCAGCAGGAGTTCCGGAGAGGTGGGCAGCCTCTCCTGTGGGGGTCTTAGGGGTTTTTCAGGAAAAAGAAATAGTGTCTGCAGTAGCGCCTCATCAAGCGTTAAGCTTTATTGATGTGAGTTGTGTTGCCTTGAACCAGAAATCCTGGCTCTTGGAGGCCATGGATGAGTGGTTAGACCAGGCCCCAGACTGGCTCAGAGGAGCCCACGGCCTGTCCGGCCCGTTTCTCTCTCAGAGCAGCTGGGAGAGTAACCGCTGCCTGTACCACTTCCTAGAGGTGTTCTGAGACAACATTAAGAACACATTTATAAAGTCCTAAGTCACAGAGTAATAGTATTACTGCTTGTGAATATATAAAACAAAATTTATCCCGGTTTTCTAGGGAAAGCCATTCTCTCATAGTTCTACTCCCTCTTCCAAGGGGCCTGTGTCCCTTTGGGGAAGAAAGTTTCCTGAGGGTTCAGAGGCCCTTTCGTCTTGTAGGTCTCTTCACCCTGAGGGTACATTGTTGTAGGGTTGCTCTGTTACACAGTGGGGATGAGTTTGCCTTTTAGCAAGGACTGGGGAGTGAGTCCAGGAAGACTTGCCCTTAGCTGGCTCCCCCCAGCCAGCCCTCCACCACCAAGATGCTGACAGTGGGGAGAGCCAGCTGAAGTGTCCGGACCATTCCTGTCCCTTTGACCCAGACTCACTTTCAGTCCTCGGCGGGTGCTCTGTAAAGCCATGCGCTCTGCTGTGCAGCTGGTCTAAGCCCTAGGAATGCAAGTCAGTTTTACTCTGAGCATAAAGGGGGAAAAGGAGGGAGAGAGATTTACTCAGAGTCAACAGGCCAGGCTCACGTGTCACACGCCACATAGGAGCTTGGATGGCTGGCTCCCTTTCAGCGACGGGGGCTGACTCTTGCTTTCCTGCTTCCTTCATTTCTTCTGTCTCCTCCAGGGTGCACCCCTACTTCTCATACTGTTGACTAAGAACAGGCCCTCCCACCCTCTGACTCCGGATCCTCTTCCCTCCCTAGAGTTTGAGAAGGCCTTGAGCCGCCCTGGCCCTGATGTGGTGATCTGCGACGAGGGCCACCGCATCAAAAACTGCCAGGCCAGCACCTCGCAGGCCCTGAAGAACATTCGCTCCCGCCGCCGGGTGGTGCTGACCGGGTACCCCCTGCAGAACAACCTCATCGAGTACTGGTGCATGGTGGACTTCGTGCGCCCAGACTTCCTGGGCACCCGACAGGAGTTCAGCAACATGTTCGAGCGCCCCATCCTGAACGGGCAGTGTATCGACAGCACGCCCCAGGACGTCCGCCTCATGCGGTACCGGAGCCACGTCCTGCACAGCCTCCTGGAGGGCTTCGTGCAGAGGTGAGCCGTCCTCCGAAGGGGTGGGCGGCACTCTGGGGGGGCCATGAGTCCAACTTCCTTTTACTCAACAGCATGTCCTGAGTAGCTGGCAGAGGCTGGGCACCACTGTTTCAATCCTCTGGAAGTTTGGCCTAGAAGTGCTTCTTTCAAAAGTTGATCTGTGGTTACCATGGATGCTTGCCCTACCTGCTGAGGAGCAGAGAGAGAGCTGGCATCTTACTGACTCGTGTGAAAGGGGGACGGGTGGTTCTAAGGGTGGGTCTTGCCTGGGCCAGCCTCTTGGTGCGAATAGCAACTCTGGTCCCCAGCAGTCCCTTGTTTTTCCTGGTTAACATGGCATGTGTGGAGAAAGCGTAGAGGAACAGCCCCGAATCGGTGCCTCTTGCTTTTGTTTTCATCCTTAAAATGAGTTGTGTGGTTTTTTTTTTAATGAGTTTCATCTTGATGGTTGCTGAAGCAGTCCTCATGAGAGGCTGCTGTCAGCCTCGAGAGGTGGGTGTGGCAGGAAGCAGGGTCTGGTTCTGTCCTACAAGGATGCCCCGGCCACAACGCCTTGTCAGTTCTGGTCTGTGTTCTAGGAGAGGCCACACTGTGCTGAAGATTCATCTCCCTGCCAAGGAAGAGAATGTGATCCTGGTGCGGCTCTCCAAGATCCAGCGCGATCTGTACACACAGTTCATGGACCGCTTCCGGGACTGTGGCAGCAGTGGCTGGCTGGGGCTGAACCCCCTCAAGGCTTTCTGTGTGTGCTGCAAGGTGCGTGGAGGCCTCAGGGATACTGAGACACAGGCCAAGAATGCACATGGCCCCCAGGGAGTTACTCCTGCTGGGGGTTCCTGACAAAGGAGGATAAGAGCAGAGGGGCCGCCTCTGCACTGGACGACTGGGGGCTCTCGGGAGAGCAGTGTTGGCTGCACGCGCACAGCTCCCGGGAGTGGTGCTCACACTGCACTGCAAATGGTGCCCTTGTGCTGTGCAACTCGGCTGCACAACCTGTTACACCAAACTTGAGGAACCACTTCATTTCTCACTGATTTGTTTTCACTTGGGAGAGCAGGTGGCGGTGGAACATTGTGAGACAGTGTCTTTGCTTGCATGATTGGGACTCAAGAACTCTACGGTTTAGACTAGTCACTGGGGCGCCTCCCATGGGCTTCTGTATTTCATCGGGTTGAGATGTCTTTCATCCCGACAGTGCTTCAGGTGGCTGGGGACAGCAAGGCCATGTATCTTTAACACTCAGCCTCGGGAGCAAGGTGATGAACACTCACTTGTCTTTGATCTGGACAAGTGCTTCCTGTTATCTCACGGGGGACCTGTTTCTTAGACAGCTTTCAGCTGACCTGCTGGGCAGTGTTTCTGATTGGCCGCTGCTTTAATATGTGAGCTGACGGGGTATGGCTGGGGATAGATGGAGTTTCAGAATATTTCTTTTGTAGCCCAGAGACCAGGGCAGACGTGGTCTGGAGGATGCTGCGGTGGCAACACCTGTCTTACCCACCCCTTCTCCTCCCCAGGGATTCTCAACTCCTGCCAGGAGTAGCCCCTCAAATGACTTATGGCTGGTCAGCTAGAAGGCAGATACATTTGTCCATAGGGTGACTTTGTTTTGCTTCATACTGTGGTTGACTGTGGCCACTCAGTGAAACAGGAGCATTCTTAGTGAACAAGAATAGAATGCAAGGCTTATGTACCACACATACTGGCTTGCCCCTGCTGTGACCTCTCCTCTTTGTGTGTTATATGATCAGTCGGTAAGTGGAAACGAATGTCCAGGTCTTTGGCCCGAGGTCGTTGGGATATTTAACTTTTTGGTGATTGAGTGCTGTGGGAGGTGTGTGTTTGAGCAAGGACACGTTTCCAGACTCTGGGACACCTTTACATTCTTCTCAGCCCTGCGCCACCTTTTCTCTGACTTGACCCTCAGATCTGGAATCACCCTGACGTGCTGTATGAAGCCCTTCAGAAGGAGAACCTGGCGAACGAGCAGGACCTAGACGTGGAAGAGCTTGGCTCCGCGGGGACTAGTGCCCGTTGCCCGTCACAGGGAACAAAAGTCAAGGGGGAGGACAGTGCCTTGGCCGCCTCGATGGGAGAGGCAGCCAACAGCAAGTTCCTTCAAGGGGTCGGCTTCAACCCTTTCCAGGAGCGAGGCAACAACATTGTCACGTATGAATGGGTGAGTCAGGCAGATGCTTCTGTGGCCGTAGAGCACTGCTGAGAAGGGATGTGTGAAGCCCACGTGGGGAGGGGCAGGGTGCGCAGTGGACATGCTGCCCGGGTCTGTGCAGGGACCTATGAAGGTGGCCCGTGAGCTGCTGCTGTCTTGGAGGGAGAGATTTCTATGGACCTGCTCAAGCTGCCTCATTTCTCTCCACAGGCCAAGGACCTTTTGACTAATTACCAGACTGGAGTCCTGGAGAACTCTCCCAAGATGGTACTGCTTTTCCACCTGATCGAGGAAAGCGTGAAGCTTGGTGACAAGATCCTCGTGTTCAGGTACAAGAAAACTTTCCGAATGACACTGTGTGGCTCTGGTAACAGTGACACATCCCTACAGAGTGAGACGCCTGGGGTCACGCCAGCCCCCTTTTCCACTCTCCATGCCTCTGCAAGCCAGTGCTTCTGGGGGGTGGGGGTGGGGAGGGTCTTGCATTTTCTTTTTCTTGGAGTTTTTTTGGGCCAATGCTATTCTCTTCAGAGAACAATTTGAGACCATGGGCTAACATTGTAGATCATAGTCTAACCCTTCCACTTGTGGCCAGGCCAAATGTGGCCTGTGGCCTGTTATTGTACAGCCTGAGAACTAGAGTTGAACATTTTAAAAGGGTTTTAAGAAAAAGGAAACACAGCTGAGACTGTATGTGGTCTGTGAAGCCTAAAAATATTCACTGTCTGGCCTTTTACAGAAAACACTTGCAGATCCGTGGTCTAGTCTGCTTCTCTCTCTCTCGGCCTTTTTAAAATAAGTAAGCTTTGTATATAAGGCCAAATAAACAAAGCAGTTTGTTCCAGAGTCACATTCTCAGTCTAGCCAGAGGTTTGAGTCCCATCAAGGCCTGACTCCTCAGGGAACCGACACGGAGTAGATTGCTTCTCCTGCGTCTGACCAGTGTGCTCCAATGAGAGCTCAGTGGCAGCGGCCTGGCTTGGCAGCCTCGGAATGAGGGTTTCCACTTGGGGCACATTTGCAACGACAGCAGTGGTTCTAACGGGTTGGGGGGGGACAACTGCTTTTATGGATCATCCTGAGGAGACTGGCTCTGCACACTCAGAAGCAGCTGAGTGCTCATCTCCCCTTGATATTGCCTGCCTATAGTTGGCTCTGATGTCTACTCATGTAGTGTGGGTTTTTGTTTCATTTTTAAAATAGGTTTTTATTTATTTTAGAGAGAGAGGGAGGGAGGATAGAGAGAGAGAAACATCGATGAGAGAGAAATTTCATTGATTGGCTGGATGTGCCCTGACCAGGAATCAAACCAGTGACCTCTTGGCTCCTGGGTCGTAGCTCAACCACTAAGCTACATCGGCTGGCTGCAGTGTGGGTTTTTAATGCTGATGTTATTGGATACTAGGCACTGAGTGAAACCCCAGAATTTCCCAGCTGAGCAAGTCATAGGGTAGAGTTTTTAGCCGGGTGCCGGCAGTAATTGTATGGATGACTCTGCTCCTACTATGAGCTAGAAAGAATACCGTGGTGGTTCTTTGTGGGGTTACCTCCTACAGGGAGTAGGTTGTGGGAGCTCCCACCGCCAGAGGACTGCATACAGTTGTGGGCCTGTTGGAGAGCAAGGTGCCTGTGGGTCTGGGAGCCTTCTGAACCAAGTGTTGTTCCTTTCAGCCAGAGCCTTTCCACCTTGGCCCTCATTGAGGAGTTCCTAGGGAAACGAGACATGCCCTGCCTACCTGGTGCCGAGGGGCAAGGAGTACAGAAGTGGGTTCGAAACGTCAGCTACTTCCGTGAGTTAATTGCTGCCTTGTTCCTGGAGCCTTGGCGAGGTCTACTTAAGGGTTTACTTTCCTTCTCTCTCAATTTCTCTTCTACTCCATTCTCTCCATGAAATATTTCATTTATAGCCACAGTCCTAGAGACCAGGCGCAGCAGAACAGCCCAGGAGCAGAGAAAGACTGAGGGAGCTGCTAGGCGTGAGGCGCTGTCCTAGGGGCTGAGGAGCTCAGGCAAGATGGGGGTGGGGGGTTCCAGAGAAGTAGCAGGCATAGGCCTCATCTTCATCTGAGACATGACAACTTGAGGACAGATCCTTGGGTTCTAAGGAAGGCAGAATTGTCCTGGTGAGGATGGTCAAAGAAGGCTTCCTGGAGGAGGCAAAGCTTGCACTAGACTTGCAAACATGGAGAGGGTTTGACAAATAACAGAGCTTGTGTGGCCCAGAGGTCATTCTAAGGGAAAGGAGTGGAGTGAACACAAATCTAGATCATGCATTCTCTGTGGGGGAGATAGCATCCCTAGAACAATGAAAACTGGTTCTTGGGGCAAAAAGACTTAACTTTTTGAAGAATAAAGCACAAATATGCATATAGTAAGTAAACATACAATAGATCTGTGGTGTTAAAGTTACAAGGGGGGCATGGCGACTGGGAAAAATGTATAAAAAGGTTCCTTAAGAAGGTGGTGATAAAAATAAAAATTAAAAAAAGGCTGAGAAGTATTGACCTCAGGCCCTTACTGACCAGAAACTGACATGTAGGCCAGATAATTCTGTGTTGTCAGGGGCAGTCATGTGCATTGTAAGATGTTTAGCAGCATCTTTGGTCTCTATTCACTAGATGGCAGTAGCATCAACTCAGTTACAACAACCGATAGTGTCTCCAGGCATTGCCAGGTGCCTCCTGTGGGGTGGAGGGTGCTTGTTGAGAAGCAGCAGAGGTTAGGGGGTGCGAAGAGACCCAGCACAGGTCTGGCCTGGAGCTTTGTGTTGTCCCTGGATTTGCCCAATTAGTGCTGAGCTGTGCTTGAGCTTATGAGAACTAGCTTTGCCCTTTTCTCTGCTTTGCCCATGGTGTCAAAAGAAGCCTCCCTGCCCTTACTCATGCTTCCTAACTGGAGGGAACTCCTTCCGAGCTTCCCCCTTTCACTCCAATGTCCCACCCACCGCGCCGTATCTGTTCCTCTGTGTCTCTCTGTAGCAAGTTCTCAGCCTTGGGAGCTTGTTAACAGTGCAGGTTCCTAGTGGAGGAACACCATCCCTATCAAAACAAACCCTTGGTTCATCTGTGCTCTGTCAGGATTTGCAGGACTGAGGCAGAGGGCCACCTGAGCCAGTGTCTACCAAGCCTCTTTACTTAGGGTGATTCTTAGGCACTCTAAGTCTAGGAACCTTGGCCTTAGAATCGACACAAGATACTAAAGGGAGAAGCAGTTTCTAATCCTTGTTGTGCATACAACCACCTGGGGGTATTTTTAAGTTATAGGAACTTGGGTCTCAAGGTAGACCAGAGCTCTCTAGTGTGTGTGCGCTTGGTTTTTAAAACACATTTGTCCAGGATTTCGCTGTGTCCCCTGCCCTCATCTGGCCATTTCTGAGGTTCTCCTTCTGTCCTAGGGCTGGATGGTAGCACCCCTGCCTTTGAGAGGGAGCGGCTCATTAATCAGTTCAATGATCCCAGCAACCTCACCACCTGGCTGTTCCTTCTCTCCACAAGGTGAGTGGGTCCTGGGAGGATAGGCCAGAGGGTGTGTTCTGGGCAATTGGCCACATGGGCAGGCACCCCAAAGGCTCATTCAATTTCCATCAGAAGAGATCTGCTCAGGGCTGTGACTTGTTTTTGAAGTGAGAGAGGGGACACCAAAAGGAAGTTGTGTTAAAGGGCGATCGTGACATTGTCATTAAGTTCTTTGACACCTTCATTAACAACGGTTTAATTAGCTTTTCCCTTGGAATGTTTTGAGGCTGAGATGATGTGGAGAATGTGAGAGTGTTTTAACAAGTAGGAAGTGCAATAGAACTGTAAAAGGCTGCTGGCCTGTTTGTCTCATGCCAAGTAAAATGCCCTTGATAGGGTATGAACCAGCCGTTCTCCTGAGCTGTTAGCAGTTTCCCTCGCCAAGTGACATCACACTCAGCAGGGAGGAGAGCGGACTGCTTTCTGTGCTGGGGGCACTTGCGTGTCGCACGTTCCAGGCATACTTTAGAGTGGGTGAGGACATACACTGTCCATTAGCAGGACAGCAGGATCCTCAGTACGTTGGGCTTAGGACAAAGAGGAGGGTGTTGGGGTAGGAGTCACGGTGGGTAAAACTGATTTGAAAACTACCTTTAAAACGAAAGGCTCTGTGATTGTTGTTTTGTGTTTTAAAGGGCTGGGTGCTTGGGCGTGAATCTGATCGGTGCCAACCGAGTGGTGGTGTTTGACGCTTCCTGGAACCCTTGCCATGATGCTCAGGCAGTGTGTCGGGTGTACCGCTACGGCCAGAAAAAGCCCTGCCACATCTACCGCCTTGTGGCTGATTTCACCCTCGAAAAGAAGATCTATGACCGTCAGATTTCCAAGCAGGGCATGTCAGGTGGGCTGCCTTCCAGGTTCAGAAGAGACACATTGATATAGGCCGCCATCCTACTGTCTCCAGGCATTCGAGGACAGGGAGATTGTGGGAATACAGGCAGGCTTCCCAGTATAGCAAGCCAGCAGGTCCTCCCATCTCATTCTGACTCAAATAATTGCCTAAGAGGGGAGTGACCTCAACTTGTTGAAGGTGGGTTTAGTGATAAGAGCTAAACTAGTAGGTTTCTGTTATAATACTTCCATTTTACCAGGGCCTCCCACCTGGTCTTTAACTTTCAGATACGGAGGGGCCGCCTTCGGTGGCTCAGGTATAGTGCCAGTTGTGCCACCCACAACCTCTCTCCTCTCTGCTGATCTCTGTAGCTGTGCCTTTGCAGTCTTCTTTGCCACATACTGACCGTCTCCTTGTCTTCTCCCTTCCAGATCGTGTGGTGGATGATCTCAATCCAATGTTGAACTTTACCCGGAAGGAGGTGGAGAACCTACTGCACTTCGTTGAGAAGGAGCCGGCTCCCCAAGCATCTTTGGACATAAAGGACATCAAGGAGCCCGTCCTGCAGCTTGCCTGCCGGAAGTACCCTCACCTCATCACCAAGGTGAGAGCCCGGGGTGCAACAGCCCCTGGCGGGCCAGCAGTCAGCGGGGGAGGCTCATCTGGTGAGCTTGTCTTTGTGCAGACTTTTGTTTCACGCAGGCAACTTGAACGCCATGGGTTCTTTTCCTTGTCCCATGCAGTTCCTGCCCCTGGTCTGGTCCTACAAGTGCTGGGCTCAACCACGTGGAATAATTTGGCCAGTGTGTTTTCCTAGCAGAAAGAGAGATGGCACGTTTTAAAAATGTAGCCTGTTAATTCTCTGACCTCTGCCCTCCTTTTGATGTGGAAGGCAGATGTAGGTGGTCTAAAGCTGTGCTGTTAGACTTGTGAGTCATACTCTTGACAGAAGGACCGTGAACCTGCATATGTCTGCGAGCAGGCTCTTCGCTAGTGCTGGAGACAGCTAGCGCTTCCTTGGTGTCAAAGCAAGGCCCAGTGTGTACCCATCATTTTGCACAAAGACTGATAA